CATTCAACCACCACCAACACGCCTACAACCACTCATCCACAGAAACACCACCACCCTATAGCAACTATTTAACCACAATACCACCAACACCACCCCTTAACAACCACTCAACCACGACCAACACGCTGACAACCACTCAACCACGACCAACAAGCTGACAACCACTCAACCACGACCAACTAGCCCACAACCACGAGATCACCATCAACAACAACCACCACCACCTGACCTCTTACCACCACCAACAGATGACTAAACTACACTGCCCACCTAACTACCACCAGCCTCTAACGACGTGTGAACGGTGACCACAGATATGACGCTCCGTGACCTGGCTAAACGACTCAATTAACCCCTAACCATCACGTCAGGGAGCAGATAACGAGGGGTGGACAATCGACAGTGGGTCATTACGCCCGTCCGGTCCGGAAGTGGGTCATTTTCTGGTGTTTAACTAATTAGAGGGGACAGTTGTGTCTGATTAATATCACGGCGACGGCAAGTACGGTGTTCCGGTCACGGCCGGATGGTGGGCCGGCTGGACCGTGGGGGGAGGGGGTAGTAACTATGTGGGTGTAGCTGTGTGGGTCTGTGTGTGTGTGTGTGTGTGTGTGTAAGGGTGGGAGTGTATGTATGAGTGTGTGTGTGTGTGTGTGTGTGTGTGTGTGTGTGTCTGTGTGTGTGTGTGGGGTGGGAGTGTATGTATGAGTGTGTGTGTGTGTGTGCATGTGGGGGTGTATTGGTCAGCATCCTCGCTTTGCAAGCGAGTGGACCCGGGTTCGATCCCCGGGCAGGGTGAAACTATGGGCAAGTTTCTTTACGCCATTAGCCTCTGTCCACCCAGCGGATCGTGTTCCGGGGTAATGGTTAGCCAGTGCAGTTGGCGAGTTGTCCGGTCTTCTCCGACTATTCCTTGACACTGGGTCATGCGGCTCGTTAACTCAGGGTGTGGTTGTTGTGTTGGCGACAGCTTCTACACCTTACACAAATTCACGCCTAGGTGGCCCTAGGGCCGGCCATCCTCGTTACACGAGGGGCAACCATTATTATTAGCAGTAGTAACTCAAAAATAGCCACAGCACCTTTAAAACAGCCCCAAAATAGACCCAGTGCCTTCAAAAGTAGCAATACAATAGCCACTATACATTAAAACTAGCCCAAACTAGCCCCAATACCTTAGAAACATTCCCAAATAGCCCTAACACCATAAAACTAGCCCCGAATAGCCACAATACCTTAGAAATATCCCCAAATCACCCATAACACTTAAAAAATAGGCCAACATTGCCACAATATCCTAAAAGTAGCCCAAAATAACCTCAACAATCTAAAAATAGCCACTATACCTACAAAAATAGCCAAACGGTCTTAAAAATAGCTACCAAAATAATCACACTCCTTTAACATAAGATAATTTAGGCAATTATAAAAAAAAACCCACAGGTAAAGGACCCAGGTGTTCCTCTCTCCTCCCTCATTATAATTCGGCTAATGACATCTGTACCCACTGAGGAAGGTGGGCGGCAGATGTCACCCTTGGCGTACTAATGTGAAGGCTCGTTAGGTACATTGTTCATGGGTGTTTCTTTACGCCTCTCCTCCAACCCTTTTAACCCAATTACCCACCTACCCACCCCACCCCACACCCACCCACCTCGCTACACACCCAACCCACCCCACCACACACCCACCACCACACCACACCACACCACACACACTTTGAACTATTGTTGTTATTGGTGTTATTATTGCTGTTATTTTTGTTATTATTATTGGTATTATTATTATTGTTATTGTTGTTATTGTTATTGTTGTTATTGATGTTGTTGTTATTGTTGTTATCCTATTTCCTTATTTGCACTTTTTGGCGCTTGGATATTTTCACAGTCTCTCTCTCTCTCCTATCAGGGAGGGAGCCAGATACAAGACAGTAGGTATGGGAGCCGGATGCCAAGTAACAGTACCTAATACCAAGTTCAGAGTGATGACACACAGAATAAAGGAGTGAATCATACAGTGTGAACCACCGAACCACCACAAAATCACCTAACCATCAAACCACCGAACTACCAGACCATCAAACCACCGAACCATCAAACCACACAACCACCAAACCACCGAAACACTAAACCACCGAACTACCAGACCATCAAACCACCGAACCATCAAACCACACAACCACCAAACCACCGAATCACTAAACCACCGAACCACCAAACCACTAAACCACCGAACCAACAAACCACAGAACCATCAGACCACCGAATCACCAAACCACCGAACCAACAAACCACAAAACCACCGAACCATCAGATCACCAAACCACCGAGACATCAACTTTTGGATCACACCTTTAATGGCGTTGAAATTTCCAGTTTAAATTAATTGGCATTACATTTTACAGTGTTTAACTCACCCAATATACTGTACACCCCAGCCTGACTTAACTGGTGGATATTTTACGCACGTGAGGAATATTCGATCACGTTTTCTATAATATTTCTGACAGAAGGGAAACTCAAACACCTCTGCACTACATTATGTAAAGGTGTAGCATAGTGTAGTGTATAATATGCTACACCTCTACACTACACTATGGTACACCTACACACTATACCTCTACTACACTACACCTCTACACTACGCTACACCTCCACACTGCACTACGCTACACCTACTACACTACACCTCTACACTACGCTACACCTACACACTACACCTCCACACTGCAGTAGACTACACCTACTACACTACACCTCTACACTACGCTACACCTGCACACTACACCTCCACACTGCACTACGCTACACCTACTACACTACACCTCTACACTACACTACGCTACACCTACACACTACACCTCCACACTGCAGTAGACTACACCTACACACTACACCTCTACATTACACTAGGCTACACCTACACACTACACTACGCTACACCTCTACACTATACTATGGTACACTTACACACAAGACCTCAACACTACAGTACACTATGCTACACTTACACACTACACCTCTACACTACACTACGCCTCTACACTACACTACGCTACACCTACACACTACACTACGCTACACCTACACACCTACACCCTACACACTACACTACGCTACACCTACACACTACATACACTACGCTACACCTACACACACTACATACACTTACACACTACACCTACACTACACTACGCCTCTACACTACACTACGCTACACCTACACACTACACTACGCTACACCTACACACTACACCTCTACACTACACTACGCTACATCACTACACTACACTACGCTACATCACTACACTACACTACGCTACACCTACACACTATACGCTACACCTACACACTACACATCTACACTACACAATGCTACACCTACACACTCAGGGTCCAGTCATACAGGTGAGGCTATAATCTGGCCAGACAACCTCTCGTAGGTGACAATTTTCACCGCTGCTCCTCCCAAGTCCCAGCACCTGAAACCTAACACCTAGCATCAAGGAGACAACACCTAGCACCTAGCAACCATCACTCAGTACCTAGCAGCCAACACCCAGGACCCAGCACATAGGACCCATTGCTCAGCATCTAGGAGCCAACACCCAGGACCCAGCACATAGAACCCATCGCTCAGCATCTAGGAGCCAACACCCAGGACCCAACACCTAGGACACAATACCTAGACTCCAGCACCTAGGACTCAACACTCAGCACCTAGAAGCCATCTGCTATATATCCTCCCTTAGATGTGAGGGAGAAGGAGCAGGTAGGGAGGGAGGAAGGAAAAGGGGGAGTGAGGGAGGGAGAGAGGGGGGAGGGCAGATAAGGAGGGAGGAGGGAAAAAGGGGGAGTGAGGGAGGGAGGAAGGAAGAAAGGGGGAAAAATGAGAGAGCAAGAGAAAAGGGAGGAAGGAATGGATGAGGGGCAAATAGGGAGGAAGGAAGGAGAGAAGAATAGAGTTGAGAGTGACGGAGTGGAGAGAAGGATGGGAGGGGGGGGGGCATGGCAGGGGTAATGATGGGCATGGCAAGAGTGGTCAGTAGGGCAGGATTAATGATAAGTAGGATGAGGGTGATGGGCAGGGCATGAGTGATGGGCAAGACAGAGGTAATGATGGGCAGGGCATGAGTGATGGGCAGGGTAGGGGTGAGCGGTGGGCAGGTCAAGGTGTTGGTTTAACCTGTGTACACTCCCTGAAGGTGTGACGCTAATGACCTGGTCCATCTTGTCAGGTCACAGCTGCACTGCCTGCTGTTGTTGTTTAAGTGCTGTTTTATTGTTCATGTTGTTGTTTAAATGTTGTTGCTGTTTTTGTTGGCTGTTATATAACTATTATATTATGTAACCATTTACACATAGTTAAATTACATACAAGAGTTAATATAATTATGCATTATCCAATACTGCGCGTGCACGCCCACACACACACACACAGGTGTGGCCAAAAACCCAACACCTGTAATAATCCCTGAAATATCTGAGGTGAGGTGACCTGATGTGGAGGGCGAGAAGTGAGGTCAAAGGAGGTGGCGGGGTCATCACCTTATGCACACGGACAATAGCAAAACCCACACGGATCCTTTAGTGAGGTCACCTGTGTGGGTAAGGCTGGGGGGATTAGTGGCTAAGGCCTCTTGTTCATTAGGGGAGGACACTTGGCTGTACCGCGACACACCTTCACCATCATCTCCTTCAGGGCCGCAAATTTGGTCTTTTCTTTTTCTTTTTTATAAGACATATTAACAAACGGTGATTTTTTGTTGAAATTTATTATTATTATTATTATTATTATTATTATTATTATTATTACAGCGCAGAATACAAGAGGATATTTGCCTGGCTGGACCAACATCACGACACATTGTACATTCATGATTATTTTCTCCTTCATGACCTGAAACTTTTGGTATAAAATAAAAAGAAGAAGAAAATAAATAAATAAAACCCAACGATAAATTTGTAACTTAAAAATACATCAGTGAGTTGAGGTATTACATGAACAGGAGACAACACAACACAACACAACACAACACAACACCTAGACAGAACGGACCAAAACATCAACACATCCCTAAGGCTCTAACATCACTTGCCCTCTCCGTAACCATAGACACAACTCAAGGTAGGTTAGGTTAGGTTAGGTTAGGAAGGTGATGATGTGAGGGGAAGGACAATGGGATGAGGAAATATTTGAGATGATAGGCAGATGTAGATGGAAGAGGAGGAGAGTGGCAAGAAGGGAATAAAAGACGGAGGAAGAGCAGAGCAGATGAAGGAGGAGGAGAGGTAGACGAAGAAGATGGATAGTTACAGTGTAAAAGAGACCAGCGGAAGAGGATAGCGTAGGGTGGAGGGAGGGGGGAGGAGGTTCTATAGCCCAGGTGTTGGTTTTGCCATTGTGGTGGTTAAGGAGGTGGTGGTCACTGCTCCCCGGGGTACTGGTTGGGTAAGGTTAGGTTAGGTAGGTTGGGTTGGGTTAGGTTAGGTTGGATTAAAGACGTATTAAGACTGGATCCCATTTCACACCCCCCAAAATCTCCCACCCCCTCACTCAAACACCTCCAGAACACACCCACACCCCCGAAAAAAACCCTGAATACCTCCCCAACATCACCCCCCAAAGTCACCCCAGGCTGTCTCTTAGTATCTGGGGGAGGGAAAAAAGTGTTCCCTCGAACAATTACTGGAGAGAACACGGCGCCCGAGACGTGACTGTAGCGTTAATGAATTCTAACTGGCGGTCAATTATTACCCCGTTAATCCCCCAAAATATGTACATGTTTGTGTGTGTGTGTGTGAGACACCCATTAACTCTCTCTCTCTCTCTCTCTCTCTCTCTCTCTCTCTCTCTCGCCTCACAGAGGTTAATCTACAATAATTTCGTTGGGAAATATAATATAACTGTCAGGTGTGTTCTTTCAGGTGTAGCCATTCAGGTGTGGCTCCTCAGGTGTGGCCCCTCAGCTGGAGCTTGGCCATAAAGTCACCGAGGTTGGCCACACCCGAAAGATGGCCATCGACCGTGACCAAAGGGTGAGAACTGCCTCACCCCGGGGAGGCTAAAGGCGACCCAGATGATGAGATAGTGAGACGCTCATCTAGGAGAGGCGGGGGGGAGGTGGGGAGGGAGTTAGGGAGGGAGAATGTGGAGGTGGAGAGGGAAGAGAAGGAGAGGTGTAAAGGGTAAAGGGGATGGAAAAAGAGAAGAGGGAAGGAAGGAGGGAGGGAAGAGAAGGAGATGGGAAAAGTGGGAAATTAAAGGAGTGAGGAAGGGAAGGGAGAGGGGAGGAAAAAAAAGGATGTGGGGGAGGTGAGAAGAGTGGAGGGAAGAAAGGGAGAAGGAAAGGAGGGAGGGAGGGGAGAGAGAGGGAAGAAAAGGGAAGGGTGTGGGGAGGTGAGAAGGAAGAGGGGAAGTAAAGGAGGAAAGGAAGGAAAACATGGGAGGTATGAGTGAGAATTTTTTTTTATGTCGTTAAAAAGAAAAGTTTACTTCACACACACACACACACACACACACACACACATACACATATACATTCTCTTATTCTGTACAATTATCTACTCTGTGTGTGTGTGGAGGCCAGCAGGTTCATGACACCATAACAGTGGATGACATTAAAACCTGACAGGAGAGGTCAGAGGTGCCGTCCCCTGGTCATAACCTAGTACTGATCTCTCTCTCTCTCTCTCTCTCTCTCTCTCGGGAAAGGCACCCATCCCTTGGGGAGGACAACCAGTTATTGGGGAGGGCCACCAGTACATGGGGAGGGAAGCCAGTACTTGGGGAGGGCCACCAGTACTTGGGGAGAAGCCAATGCTTGGGAGCCACCAGTATGGGAGGACCACAAGTGCTTGGGAAGGCCACCAGTATGAGGAGACACAGTTCTTGAGGAGGGCCACCAGTTCTTGGGTAGAGGCCACCAGTGGCAGAAGAGGGCCACCAATATGGGAGGAGCCACCAGTACATGAGGGAGGACCACCAGTGTAGGAGGGCCACCAGTTCTTGAGGAGGCACCAGTGCTTAAGGGCACCAATTATAGGGAGGGCCACCAGTTCTTGGGGGAGGCACAGTACTTGGGAGGGCCACCAGTTCTTGGGAGGGCCACCAGTACTTATGGAGGGCCACCAGTGCTTGGGAGCCACCACCAGTACTTTGGGGAAGGCCGGGGAGGACTAGCGAGTGACTCTACAGTAAATTGGGCACTAAAGATGGACCTGGCAGATTACGCCCCCTACCATCTACCGCAGACCTCTCTCTCTCCTTCTCCCCTTTCTTTTCTCTCTCCCACCACCCATTTATCTCTCTCCGTTCTTCCCCTCTCATCCTCTCGCCATCCACTCCCTGCCTCTCTCCACCAAGCCATCTATCCATCCATCCTTACTTCCCTCCATCCATCTCTCCTTCCCTCTCTCCCTCTGTCCTCCACCTGTTCCTCTAGGCTGAGTTACCCAGAAGATGGGAGGGAGGGAAAGGCAGGAAGGAAAGGAAGAAGGGAGGAAGGAAGATCTTAAATAGAGCGAGGGAGGGAGTGATGGAGGAAGGAAGTGAGGGAGGGAAGGAGAAAATGAGGCTGTGGGGGAGAACCACTGAGAGAGAGAGAGAGAGAGAGAGAGAGAGAGAGAGAGGGGTGTACACATCCGCCGACAGGAAAGTAACAATTTGTAGTGCGTATGTTTAAATGGACATGAGGGTGTTGCTAATTAATAACGTGTGTGTGTGTGTGTGTGTGTGTGTTCTCGCTGACACCAACTGTAGGAGCATCGAGGCTACCATTATCCATGAACAACCACGCTGGACTGGCCATGTTACCCACATAGACGACAGTAGACTGCCAAAGCAGCTACTTTACAGTCGACTAACGAATAGTAAACGTAACGCTGGCGGGCAACTGAAAAGGTATAAGGATAGTCTTAAGACAAACCTGAAAAAGTGCCAAATCGACCCCCTCACCTGGGAGACGATTACTCCACACCGTAACACTTGGGGGAGCACCGCACGAGAAGGTGTCAATAATTTCGAGTTAGCCCGACTGCATACCGAGGCAGACAAGCGCCAGTGCCGGAAAGACGCTGCCCCCGCCCCTCCCGCACTAGACGTAGCCCTCCACATGCAACATCTGTGGACGGCCCTGCCGGTCCTGTTCGATATCTCTAGTCACCTCAGAGCTCACCAACGAAAGTGGCAGCCTTAATAACTCATATCACTGTATCATAGCTGGATGATCGTCATACTCGATTCCGAGTGACAGCAAAGAAGAAATAGTAGTAGTAGTAGTAGTAGTAGTAGGTGTGTGTGTGTGTGAACCTTCATCAACTTACCACTACACCGTAACTCGCAATTCATTATATTTGAGACACAACAATTTAACAATATATATATATATATATATATATAATCACCCCAACACACCTGTAAATTAACTGTCATCCCTCCCTCCCTCCCTCACTACTTCCTTCCCTCCCTCCTCCCATCCTCCATCATACCTTCTCTCCATCCATCCTCCCTCCCTCCTCCCTTCCTTCCCTTCTCCCTCCTCCCTCCCTCACCACTTCCTTCCCTCCTCCCCCCCATCCTTCCATCATCCCCTCTCCCATCCATCCATCCTCCTCCTCTCCCATCCTCCTCCTCCCCTGTCCCCCTCCCTCCCCTCACTACTTCCTTCCTCCCACTCCCCCATCTCCATCATACCTTCTTCCATCCCATCCATCCATCCTCCCTCCCCTCTCCCTCCCTCCTTCCTTCCCCCCCCCTCCCTCCCTCCTCACTCCTTCCTCACCCTCCCATCCTCCATCATACCTTCTCCTTCCCTCCCCTCCCATCTCCATCATACCTTCCCTCCCATCCCCCTCTCCATCCTTCCTCCCCCCTCCCTCCTTCCTCCATCCTTCCTTCCCCTCACATTATTGACGTCATTTCTCGTTATAGCCTAATAACACAGAGTCCTCACCTTTGCACACCTGTTACATGGGGTCAAACCTGGTCTCCCCGGCCCGCCACCACCTTGTTAAGTTGAACGAGGATTTGTATAATATATTGGGCGTTAGTCAATAGCCTTAAATTACCGCCCGGGTGTGTGTGAGTGAGTGTGTGTCTTTAATACAGGTCCTCAGCAGCCCGAAATGACAACCCAATAACGGACAATAACGGACAATAACAACCCTCCTTGAACCATAAACTAACACCATTCAATAACACACTCCTGGGTTATAAACATTCCCCCCATAGTATTTAACCCGTAGTTCTAAGATTAACCCCCCTCTCTCTATCACCTCGGTTTAGCACTGTGTTCCCCCTTTAAACTCTAGCCCCTTAAAGACGATGATCCCACACTCTCTGCCGATAAAAACATCCTTTCCCTTACTGGCCCCACCACACCAAAAAATGAAGACTGAATTACGAGGCGTGATATCCTACCCCCCCTCCCCCACCCCCTACCCAACCCCAACCCCTCCCCCTCCAAAATACATCCAATCAAATGATGTGGAATACAAAAGGTTAAAATGTGGTAATGTTTTCGCCCCAGAAATGACTATTATCACACATTACCCTTATTTCAATCAAGATGAAGGGGAGGGGTAAGAAACAAGAATAGGAATCGGGTAGGGTAGTAGGGTGGGGAGTAGGGGTGAGTGAGGCAGGGCAGGATGGTTGGAGTACACCTGATTATATATTACAGGTTAAACATTTTGATTGTCATTTCCTATCACAACATTCCGACACACACACACACACACACACACACACACACACACACACACACACTATATTTCTCAAGATATTACCCATATAAAATCCCAGGTCTTTTTTTGTCATTTTAGGATAACATCAATGGGGTTTTTGTCCTCCTCTCCACCGTGTACATATTATATTAAGTAATGGTATATTGGGATCTTTTATTTACCTGTTTTGTTGTCGTGGCTTTTGTTTTTCAGGTCAGCGATTCTGTGATGTGTTTTTGCCGATATTTTATTTACTATTTGTTTTCGATTTGATTTTTTTTTTTTTTTTGGGGATTCTTTATTTTGAACATGTTTAATATTATAAGGAATTATTTATCTTATTTGGGAATTATATGGATTATTTTTTGGGGAGGAAGGTTTTATTTATTTTTAAGGTGATTTATTATTTTGAGTAATTATTTATTTATTTTAGGAATTTTAGATTCATTTATATTTTTTGGGGAATACTTTTTGCCTTTATTATAATATATAATATATAATATAATATATAATATAATATATTTTTATTGTCGTTGTGGGTTGTGGTGGTGCCTTCCTGACTATTCCCTCCTCCCTCCTCCTCCCTCCTCCTCCTCCCTCCCTTAGTAATTGGTCCGGTGGGATATATCTATCAACCTTCCCCATCACCATCAACCCTCCCCATCACCATCAACCCTCCCCATCACCATACTCTCTCAATCACACTACCCACACACCACACCACACACCATACACCACGCACACCACACCATACACCACACCACACACACCACACCATACCACAACACACCATACACACACCACACACACCCCACACCACACACCACACCATACCACAACACACCATACACCACACCACACACCACACCACACACACACCATACCACAACACACCATACACCGCACCACACCCCCACACACCCACACCACACCCCACACCATACACCACACACCACACACCACACCACACCACACCATACACCACACCACACACAACCACACCATACCACAACACACCATACACCACACCACACCACACACACACACACCACCACACACCACCACACCACACACCACACCACACACACCATACACCCACCCACCACACCCACCATACCACAACACCATACACCACACCACACCCCACACCACACCACACCACACACCACACCACACACCACACACCAACAACACACCATACACCACACCACACCACACACCAAACCACCATACCACACCACACACACCACACCACACACACCACACACACCACACACCACACCATACACCACACCACACACCCACACCACCACCACACACACACACCCCACACCACACCACACCATACACCACACCCCCACACCACACACACACCACACCACCATACCACAACACACCATACACCACACCATACACACACCACACACCACACCACACACACACCCACCATACACCACACCCCACCATCATAATCTATTATCAAGAATATACTCAAACCTGCAGGGGAGGGAGAAGTCGCTATTCACCCTGGAGGTGAAACAAGAGTAGAGGTGGAGGTGGAGGTAAGAGGTAAAGGTAAGAGGTAGAGGTAAGAGGTAGAGACAAAAGGCAAGAGGTAAGAGGCAAGAGGCAAGAGGTAAGAGGTAAGAGGTAGAGACAGAGGTAAGAGAAGCTACCCAATTAAGCGAGCAATTAACCGGGTCCTCACTGATAGCACAGCATCATTCATACTCACCTCATAATGAATAATTAGTATGACTCAATACACACTAAACACGGTGGGTCATTAGGAGGGGACGTAATTTATCCTAAATACCAGTTAGTGAAGAGTGATGCTGTGGGCTGACTCTGAGTGGGTTGATGTTGTGGGCTGACAGGAGTGGATTGATGTTGTGGGCTGACTCAAGTGGATTGATGTTGTGGGCTGACTCAAGTGGATTGGTGTTGTGGGCTGACAGGAGTGGATTGATGTTGTGGGCTGACTCGGCAAAACTACAGGAAGATCTAAACAAATTTTTCGAATGGTCTGAAAAATGGCAGATGAAATTCAACGTCGACAAATGTAAAGTACTCAGTATAGGAGATGTAAACAGGGAAACCAGATACCAGATGAACAACGATGCCATAGAGAAATCCGACTGCGAGAGAGATTTAGGAGTAATGATAAGTAGGAACCTTAAACCAAGTAAACAATGTGTTTTTGCTCGTAACAAGGCTAATAAAGTACTTGGGTTCATACAAAGGAGTGTTAGTTACAAGACTAGCGAGGTCATCCTAAAACTGTATCTTGCGCTTGTGAGACCTCACCTGGATTACGCAGTTCAGTTCTGGTCACTGTATTACAGGATGGATATAGAATCATTGGAAAGAATTCAGAGGAGAATGACAAGACTAATCCCGGACATTAGGAACCTTGAGTATAGAGACAGGTTAAAGCATCTTAATTTGCACTCCTTCGAGAGACGTAGAGCGAGGGGCGACCTGATAGAGGTGTATAAGTGGAAGTCAGGGCTAAACAAAGGGGACATTACAAAGGGACTCAAACTATCCAACCAGGAGCGAACTCGTAACAACGGTTTTAAATAAGACAAATTTAGATTTCGGCGTGAAATAGGTAAACACTGGTTTGGAAACAGAGTAGTGGATGAATGGAACAAGTTACCAAATATCATCATTAACTCGAATACGCTGAATAGCTTCAAACATAGGTTGGATGCTTATATGAGCAATAGGGGTTGGGTGTAAACGGGACTGCCCAGTATGGGCCAATAGGCCCGCTGAAATTTCCTCCATTCATATAAGAACATAAGAATGGAGGAAACTGCAGCGGGCGTATTGGCCCATACTGTGTGTGCGTGTAAACAGGAGTTAACAGAGCGTCACGATCATTATTAATTTGTTACTTACCTTGACTGTTGTACTTCAGGCGGGGTTCAGGTCTGTAATGAAAGATTATTATTATTATTATTATTATTATTATTATTATTATTATTATTATTATTATTATTATTATTTTCATTATTTATTTATTTATTTATTTATTTATTTATGTATTTTTATTATGTCCGTTATCGCTCTCTCTCTCTCTCTCTCTCTCTCTCTCTCTCTCTCTCAACGTTTCCCACACTACTACTCCCTCCCTCTCTGCCTTCACTGACATTTATCAGCTAATTCCTCATTTCCTGGGTCCTCACCACATGCTGTAGCGCGTTAGTCCTCACTTCCTAACTCCTCGCCTAATATACTCCTCCTTGCTTCATCACGTCAGTCCTCACTTCCTCAGCCATTCCCACACACTGTACCACATCAGTCTCCACTTCCCCATCCTTCCCCACACCTCCTCCCACATCCCCACGCCAAACAGCTGGTTCTTGGATAGATGGTTCACCTGTCCTGCGCGACCCCATTCCTGCGCAAACCAAGTCCTGATCGGCCCTATCCTAATCTATCCTATCCTATCCTAACCTAGCCCATAAGAGTTGAGTGGTAGTGTGAGCTTAGGTTGGTCAGGGAGCCGTAAAGACAAGGACGTAATAAAACTGGGGCCCATCAGGACCTGTAAGGGGCAGAACTGGGGCCCATCAGGACGAGTAAGAGACAAAACTGGGGCCCATCAGGACGAGTAAGGGGCAGAACTGGGGCCCATCAGGACGAGTAAGGGGCAGAACTGGGGCCCATCAGGACGAGTAAGGGGCAGAACTGGGGCCCATCAGGACGAGTAAGGGGCAGAACTGGGGCCCATCAGGACGAGTAAGAGACAAAACTGGGGCCCATCAGGACGAGTAAGAGACAAAACTGGGGCCCATCAGAACTGAGTGCTATAAAAATAGGGCCCATTTGACCACCCATTACCGAAACAATCACACAGTTGTGGTAAAAGTTGGCACCCCAGGCCTTCCACACCTTCCCCAGGCCCTCCACACCATCCCCAAGCCCTCCACACCAACCCCAGGCTCTCCACATCTTCCCCAGGCCTCCACACCATCCCCAGGCCCTCCACACCAACCTAGCCCTCCACACCTTCCACAAGCCCTCCACACCTTCCCCAGGCCCTCCACACCTTCCCCAGGCCCTCCACCAACCAACCAGGCTCTCCACATCTTCCCCAGGCCTCCACACCAACCCCAGGCCCTCACACCAACCCCAGGCCCCCACACCAACCCCAAGCCCTTCACACCAACCCCAGGCCCTCCACACCAACCCCAAGCCCTCACACCAACCTCAGGCCCTCCACACCAACCCCAAGCCCTCCACACCTTCCCCAACTCCTGCGGGTCTCTCCAGGTCCTACTCCTCACCACCCTCCCCGACCGGGCCTGTCATAAAGCAGGACCCGAGGCTTGGTTTATGAATACCCGTTCCTCATATAAGGTCCGTCAGGTGATCGTCGACCATTCGTATTCGTGGTCGGGAGTGACGCAGGTGGTGTGTGCGACTCTGAAGGTGTCGGTCACTTAGCTTACCCCGGCTGACACCCACACCCCCGGGGGAGACCCTTGCTGCTGCTGCTGCTGTTTCTTATGCTGCTGCTAATGCTTTATCTGTTGCAGCTGTCAAGTGTGGTGGAGATGTTTCTGTCAGTACTGTACTTTCACTGCTGTTAGAACTATTGTTGCGGCTGGTATTGCTACTGCTGCTAAACTGCTTCTTCTACTTGGTGTGATGTCTGGTACTGCTGGTGTTGAAACTTTTACTGCTCCTAAAACAGCTTATGTCAACTCATGACCTGCTGCTGTTGTTGTTTCATCTGCTGATTCAGTCCTTATGTTGATAACGAGGCTGCTGCTGCATCATTTACTGACTTCACTACTGCTACAGACGACGGCACACACACACACACACACACACACACACACACACAGACAGAGAGACAGACAGATCACCAACACACCGGGCTATACGAGACAGGTGTGTAAATTTATCACCTAGCTCATCACTAAGTCGAGGTTCTACATTATCGGGCAGGTTGGTGAGCCAGGTAATGAACTAGGTGCTCCCAGGTAAGTAAACAGACCGTATGGGGGCACACCTGTTGTTAACACTCTCATCACCTGATTCTCACCTGTGTGTGTGTGCTGAGAGAAGCTGACCACAGTGATCATTACCCCTCACCTGACCTCTTATCCTCCTTTCCTTTCTTGACCCATAATGCCCCTAATGACACACACCTGCCCATGACCCACACCTGCCCATGACCCACACCTGCCCATGACCCACACTTAACCCATGACCCACACCTAACCCACGACCCACACCTAACCCACGACCCACACCTAACCCACGACCCACACTTAACCCATGACCCACACTTAACCCATGACCTACACCTAACCCATGACCCATACCTCCCCATGACCCACACCTACCCCCCAACACCACCTCTCTTAACACATCAAAACTATCTACTATGCTTGACGATTCCTCTAGTTTATATTGACTGAGTTTACCTTTTACCTGACCGCATGACCGCTCGAGTTATTTCGGTCATGCGGGTGTGTGTGTGTGTGTGTTAGTTTGGTCATGAAGTTAGGAAGTGTCATGAAGAGGTCTGCTGTCTGGATGGTATTTTTAACACGAGAGAGAGAGAGAGAGAGAGAGAGAGAGAGAGAGAGAGAGAGAGAGAGAGGAGAGAGAGAGAGAGAGAGAGAGAGAGAGAGGAGAGCATTTAACTTATCGTGCTCTTTCAGGCAGACAGACAGACAGAGATGGGCTGATGACAGTTACACCCACCACCACCACATTGCGTGATTAATCAATTAACTTCCTGCACGGCTCACTACTCCCACGGCCCACTACTCCCTCACGAGACTCACTACTCCCCTCACCACTCACTACTTCCCCCACGGTTCATTACTTCGCACGACTCACTACTTCTCGCACGACTCACTACTTCCCGCACGACTCACTACTTCCCGCACGACTCACTACTTCCCTCACGACTCACTACTTCTCGCACGACTCACTACTTTCCTCACGGCTCACTACTTGCCTCCCTCACAGTACGTACACCCAACCTGGTGATTGCAAACTACTACTACTATTTCCTTCCTCTTCCCTCTCTCTCCCTCCCTTCTTCTTTACCTTTCTTTCCTCCTTATTTCCCTTTCTTTCCTCCCAACTTATTTCCCTTTCTTTCCTCCTTCTTTCCCTTTCTTTCTTCCTCCCTTTCTTTTCTTTCTCCTTCTCTCTCCCTCTGTCTTCTCCTCTCTCCCTCCCCCACTCTCTCTCTTCTTCCCTCCCTCCCTCCTTCCTTCTACCCTCCCGCCGTCCTTCCCTCCCTCCTTCTACCCTCCTGTCTTCCTTACCTCCCTCCTTTTCTTCCTTCGTCTCTCTCTCCTTATCATCCTCACCCCCTTTCCCTCTCTACTCCTGTAAGCCCTAAACACCTGTACACTACACCTGTAAATCACAAACACCTGTACACTACACCTGTAAGCCCCAAACACCTGTACACTACACCTGTAAGCCCCAAACACCTGTACACTACACCCGTAAACCACAAACACCTGTACACTACACCTGTAAACTACAAACACCTGTATACTGCACCTGTAAACTACAAACACCTGTACACTACACCTGTAAGCCACAAACACCTGTACACTACACCTGTAAGCCACAAACACCTGTACACTACACCTGTAAGCCACAAACACCTGTACACTACACCTGTAAGCCACAAACAAATGTACAATACACCTGTAAACTATGAACACACCTGTAAACTATGAACACCTGTACACTACACCCAAACTACAAACACCTGTACATCATAATCTGTAAAACCAACAAACACCTGTACACTACACCCGTAAACCACAAACACCTGTACACTACACCTGGGGAACTACAAACACCTGCACCACACCTGTAAACCACAAACACCTGCACAGACACCCGTAAACCAAGGCAAAACACCTGTACACCACACCTGTAAACTATAAACACCTGTACACCACACCTGCCACACTCACACCACACCTGTAAGCCACACTCACACCTGTAAGCCACACTCACACCTGCACACTACAAACACCTGTAAACTACACCTGTAAACTACAAACACCTGTACACTACACCTGTAAACTACACCTGTAAACTACAAACACCTGTACACTACACCTGTAAACTACACCTGTAAACTACAAACACCTGTACACTACACCTGTAAACTACAAACACATGTACATTACACCTGTAAACTACAAACACCTGTAAACTATAAACACCTGTACACTACACCTGTAAACTACAAACACCTGTAAACTATAAACACCTGTACACTACACCTGTAAACCACAAACACCTGTACACTACACCTGTACACCACACTTGTAGACTATAAGAACGTGGACAGGATGAGTGTGGGGCAAAGATGAGAGAGAGAGAGAGAGAGAGAGAGAGAGAGAGAGAGAGAGAGAGAGAGAGAGAGAGAGAGAGAGAGAGAGGGGGGGGGTGGTCGCGGGAGGGAGACAATGGAGACTCGTGTTGGTAGAGAAGAGATAATAAATTACAGTCTCTAATAGTCTCTTTCATACAGTCGCGCTCAAGTGACTCCATACTGCCTCTGATGGTGGTTGGTTGTGGTTGGTTGTGGTGGGTTGGGGTGGTAGGTGGTGGAGGTGGGTATCGTTAGTTGTGGTGGTGGTGTTGTTGTGGCGGTAGTAGGTGTTGGCGGTGGTTGTTGTTGGTTGTCGTGGTGGTTGATGGTTATGTTGGTAGGTGGTGATTGTGGTTGGTTATGTTCGTAGGTAGTGGTGATAATGGTTGATTGTGGTTGGTGGGTGGTGACTGTTGTTGGTTGTGGTAGTTGGTTGCTAGTTGTAGGCAGCTATGGTGTTAGGTGGTGAGAGGTAGGTGTCACATTATATTTCTACTAACACTAGTTCAACCACTATCACTACTACCACCACTGTTTCAACAACCAACAATTCAACAACAATCATTATGAGTATTTCTACCACCGTTGCCGTCACTATAACCACAATTTCGCGATTACGTCAAGTACTACCACCATTCGAAACCCACTCTCATCACACCACACACCCTCACCACACCACACACCCTCACCACACCACACACCCTCACCACAACACAACCCCCCACCACACCACACACCCTCACCAAACCACACCCTCACCACCACACCACACACCCCACCACAACACAACCTCACCACAACACACAACCTCACCACACCACACACACCCCTCACCACAACACAACCCCACCACAACACACACCCTCACCACAACACAACCCTCACCACACCACACACCCTCATCACACCATACACCACCACAACACAACCCCACCACACCACACACACCTCACCACACAACACAACCCTCACCACACAACACAACCCTCACCACAACACAACCCCACCACACACACCTCACCACACCACCACACACCTCACCACACCACACACTCACCACAACACACACCCTCACCACAACACAACCTCACCATAACACAACCCCTCACCACACCACACACCCTCACCACAACACAACCCCACCACACCACACCACACCACACACACACACACACACACACACACACACACACACACACACACACACTCACCACACCAAACAAAACCACACCTACACTACACCACACACCATCACCACCTCACCACACACAACACAACCCCACCACACCCACACCCTCACCACAACACACACCACCACAACACAACCCTCACCACACCACACCCTCATCACACCACACACCCTCACCACAACACAACCTCCACACACACACCCCACCACACACACCCCACCACACAACACACCCACCACACACACCACCACAACACAACCCCACCACACACACACCCCACCACAACACAACCCCACCACACAACCCCACCACACCACACCCCCCCACACAACACACCCCCAACACACCACCACCCCACCACAACACACACCCTCACCCACAACACAACCCCACCACACAACACAACCCCACACCCCACAACACCCCCACCACACCACCACACACCCTCACCACACCACACACCTCACCACAACACAACCCCACCACAACACAACCTCACCACACCACACACCCTCACCACACCACACACACACACACTCACCACAACACACTCCACCACCACACAACCCCAAACACAACCACACACCACCCACACACACACACACACACACACACACACACACACACACACACACACACACACACACTCACCACACCAAACAAAACCAACCACACTACACCACACACCATCACCACCTCACACCACACACCATTAGTAAGTATTGTGAACTTCTCTGGTCACTGTAAACCTCCATTGAAATTGGTAAATAAAAACACCTTAATCGTTCCTCCATCATTGT